CAGGATAACAGGATCTTGATGCGTCACTTTGTCGCTCACCCCATCTTTTGCACTTCGAAAACTGAAAACTACAATTTCTAGCTGACTGTTGACTGGGCGCTCAGAAAATGGCGATCATGGGCCCCTCAAGGCAAATTCAGTTCTCTTCATTCGATAGTGAATGTTTATAGCAATGCATTTTTCAGGAATGATGGTACTGCTCAACTTGAAGCGGCACAGAGCTTCTCACTTTGCAACTTGCATCGCAGATCAACAGCACCCCAAGACTCCAGCTGCCAGGATGAATGCACACACTCGCTTCGCACTCCCTTTGAACACATACGGCAGTCTCAAGCTCCTACATGACAAGACCCAAGCGAACGTTGACAACAGGACAGACAAAACGATCAACCAGACTGCTGCAGCCACCACCACCACGAATCAGCAGCGTCACAACTCAAAGTTTTCGCAAAAGATGAAGATGCTACTCCCCGGCAAAAAAGTCAATGCCGGGTCGGCATCGGAGGACAGCAAGGCCACGGTGAGCGGGCGGAAGCGCGCGACAACGGTCCATCTCATCGGTTCGCACGCCTTCGTGCAGCTAGGTCCACCCTAGAGGTTGAGGATCGAATTTCCGGCGATTACTGCGGTGGTCTTCAATTTTCAATGATTTATAAACTTAGTAGCGTTGAATTTGTATATTCGGATAGCTCTCATAGGAAGGTGCTAGTAGCGGTAGGAGGAATACTAGTAATGGCCACACCAAGTGCATCAGCGGCTTTCGATATCGCTACAGCAACTTGAAAACACCTTATCCATTGACTACACTCGCTTGATAGTTTTCCCAACACTTGAGACCAACGTGATCATCACGATATCTGACTTTGATTAACCGCCCTTGCCTTCTTTTAATCGAGCATACTAGATCACTCAATGTGCTTGGATCACAACGCTTAGTTTTGTTATTGCTAGCATCAGCGTAGTGCTGCATACATGGTCAAGTGTTTGTCTAAGTATTTTGTACTTCGACAAACACTTGACCATGTACTAAGTAGATTTTTGTGAGTCGCTTGAAATAGTGCTGTAGCCATCTCATTTATTACGTCCACCACACCA